ATTAGATACATTTAATAATTAGATTTCTTCACAGTACTTTCACAGTTGTTTATAAGTGAATAAATTCTTCATTTCAAATACATTTATAAATAATTTAATGAATATTTATGTATTTTGTCAAAGGTAGATACATGCTTTTTGCAGTAATATGCAACAATAATGTATGGATGTGAAAAAAATTTGTTTTATTTAAAACATTTTGGCGTTTGGAAAATAAAATAAAAGTAGTACTCTATCAAGGGTATCGAAAGACGTATACAATTTTAAATGTACCGTAAGGTATTTTTTATTCTTTTTAAGCATAACATTTTTCTTAAAATCTATATTTTTGTAGTTCAACAGCTTAGAATTTTATAAGATAAATTCATAATCAAAATCGCGCTGTTGTTAGTTATCGAAAAATAACGAAGATGTGATTTTTGCGTAAATGTCATTAAACTATACAAATTGCTATTATCCATCACTATGAATGTTTCTTTCATGCGAAAGTGTCCCTTTTTCGATTTGTATGGAACTGTCGTGTGTCGAAATACTATGAGAACCGTGTCAAGCGAGCTTCTGAATGTAAACAAAGAACACTCCATCTGGTGACCCAAGCTTCAAAGTAGTGCTTCACTTCTAGTGCCGACTGGCCCCTCCTTCCTTTCCTACCTCCATGGCTTTTACCCTTGCAAAAAGCGGCAAACAAATAAGTGGACGATTCTGCACTTTACCGAGAATTTTTTCAAAGAAAAAGCATCATTCATCATAGAAAATTACGTTTGAACAACCAACGAGATGAAATTATGCTTTAGCGATAACTCGGTAGCGAAATAGCGATGCAGGCATCCATTCAGTTATGCTTAGCAATTTTTACATAAATTATAATAATGATCTGAAATAGTTATTTACTCTTATGCTTCCATTCAGTCATGTTTAGCCTTTTTTATATACATTATAATAATCAAAAAAGTATTATGTGAAATTAATCTTTCATCTAAATTAAAACATCAATCTTAGATGGTTATTTACTTTTATACTTCCTTTCTTGCATTAGGTTTGCCGCAATTATTTTTGGCAGCACTGGCATCAACAATAGTTTGGAGATTTTTTACGGCCCTCAAAACCGAATAGTACCGAAATTTTTTGTAAATTTTTCCTCGTCAACATTTTTTAGCACATTTAACTTAAATCTGTAATCATCGCCAAGCGTAATGTCAGCATAAAAGATTACCATACTTTTTTATTATTCAATTACTAGCATAAAAATTGTTAGTTTATACATGAGTCATTACTCAAGTTGTCATGTTTTGATAAACGTGGTGATGAAAGGAAAATGTAATAAATAGTGATTCGCCAGGTTTGCGTCAGATCACCGATGTATCTATGTGGAATGTTTCGATTTGAGATGTGTGCCAAGAAGATACGCAGCAACAGAGCCAAATAACTGATCGTACAAATTTATGCTACAATGATTGTTTCTTCAATAACAAGGTATGTTATTTAATGTGGAAGTGAAATTAGGAATCGGGGCTCTCCAGATGTTTTATTATGCGCGAAAGGGGGTATCAAATGGTCATGCTTAAAGCCTACGAGAAAAACTTTGTTGGTGGTTTTGAGGTACGGATTTTAGATCATTCCGGATCACGGACGTCCGGATTTCGGAACTGTATATATATGTCATAATAAAAGCACAAAGAAAAAGCCGGAGCAGTGTCGATGCGTGACCAGACCCATACTGAAGAAGAATTTGATTGCGTAGTATTTAAAGAACTTGGCAGTCGAGGCAATTTTAATTCCATTTTTATTTCCAATTGATATTTGTGGCCACAATCACTTGGCACTCTAGTTGTGCCTTTCCACAGAAGATTTACATTTTTGATATTGCTGAGATAGAAAGCAAGTCAGCGAAATTACATCTTAGCAAAGTAGAGAGCAAAAGCTGAAGTGCGTAGTTATGAAAGACGGAAGCACGCGAAGAGAAAAGTTTTGGTTTATAATTCGGTGATTGGTCGTCAAGAGGCATCTGGTATTAACGGTTACGTAAGATCGCATGATTAATTTGAATGACGCAATGCAGATAAGTTATTACGATTTTAGAATAGAGAGGAAGAATTAATGTTTATAGTTATATTATAATTCTGATTCATACATTTTTTATCTTACATATATATGTAATAATAATTTTCCATAGTCAAGAATACACTTAAAATTCTAACTGTATGTTCTTTTCATTTTTTTAATGGCGACGGTCTCTTATTTGAAAGTATGTGGAATTAAATCCACAGCCCCGTAGTCAAGTTGTTTTTCCCGTCTTTTCTACACGTACAGTTATAGAATGTTCTGGAAATATTTAAAGCGAACTGGAATGGCTGACGAAGCTGACGTCATTTCTTGGAAGCTCCGCTTTTCCAGAGGCTATAAAAGGACTCGCAAAGGAATATCGGGGTCTTTCTTTAATGTAACGATGCAGTAAACCTTCATACAAAATATTATTAGTAGTACTTTTTTATTTACTCCGGATATCTGATTTTGTAACTGCTATTTCTCCTGACCAATAATAAATGGATCCTGTTTTTTAAACTTATCGTCTGATAATTTAAGTTACGACTACATCTATGATTCTTTACCAATCTATTTATTCTGGACAAAAGCTGGTACATCACACATAAATATATATATATACGTGCACATTAAATATGTCAAAGAAATTATGGCAATATATTAAAAGTACACAAATCCAGGTATAAAATAGCAGGAGAATTTTGACATTAAAATCAGGAAAATAATTTTTTCTTATAGTAGTTTTGGGGATTTTTTTGCGTTCTTAGCGAAAACCCTGGCCGGTAAGAGGTTTAAAGAGCGCTCTAATGTAAGTCATGAAATTCGAGGCAGCCCTACCAGCAAGCAACTTGTAGAGACCGACACCCTGTCAGAGCTGCGCAAGTCTAAGAGCCAGTGGATCAAATGACTGCTCATTTAGATGATTTAACCAGACAAGTCAATGCCTTGATACAGAATAGGAGTGTGAACAGATTGACTCTAAATTGCTGAAGGCCTTGTTTTAAGGAAATGCACAACACCGCAGAGCATGAAAAATAAGATGAACGATTTAAACAGACTAATTAGTACCTTGAGATGGAATAGGAGTGACAAGAAACCATCTCTAAAGTACTGGAACTACGGTGGTAAAGGACATGTACAGAGGAACTGCAGAACACCCTAGGGCACGGTAAATAATATCGTTTCCCAGCAACGACGCAGGAAACAAATTACTGGTCATCTCGTAGTGCGGAGTTTGAATGATAATGAAAAACCCCATTTTAAAGCACTCATGATTTATGCAGTGAGTGGAAACAGTAATAGACTATTGATCAATGGGCATATGGTTGGAGTTGTTTGCAATATGACCATCAGCACAAGAGGCAATGTTACCGTCATTCAGAAAGATTTAGCTCAACAATTTAAAGATAAACTCATTGGGACGCTATCTTGCATTACCCTTCAGACTGTGCCTGGTGATTAAACTGCAATTGATGCGAAGTTAAACATAAACATCACATTTGGAAGTGCCGTCTACCATCACACGGCATATGTGGAAGATATTACAGATCCTTGCATACTCGGATTCGACTTTCTAAAAAAATGCTGTATTTTTCCTTGGACTTCAAAAACAAGAAACTGCTTTCAGCATCTGAGGAGATAACTCTCCATCATCAGAAAGCACCCTCACCTGGAAACATCGACGCCTTGACTGGAAGAACCTGCTCAGAAAGTTGGCAATGTCACACTAAGATCAAACAGAAGCACGAGCTGCCTAGTCCGGTCACACAACAAATTACAACATCAACGTCGGCTGAACATTAACATTGTGTGACTGGTAGGTAGAAAACTGACGACCACTGTCGCCAAGTGGCGATGGCGCCAATCCTCTCCAAGATGCGAGTTCAGGGTTTGAACCTCTGGGCCTGCTTCGGCTGCTGAATTGGATGCGCAGTGTCATTTAGTTTGACGAAACGTGGAATGCCCAATATCTTATCACCTCTTGCTCATTCTTTCATAGTAATATTTAGGTCTTTTACAGTAAAATTACTAAATGCTATTTTTACCATAATTGCTAACTGTGCAATATCTGATGTATTTGTAGACGTGTCAAACTGTAGAAAGAACCAGCCACATATTTCCAAGTCACGCTTTAACTGAGTTTGCATGTCTTTTGAAGTGGCATATATTTTTGTTGTGATAGTGTTATGTGACAACTGCAAGTCTTGTATTGCTGGCATAGTCTCATGTTTATTAGAGAATTCCTCAAATAAGTTAAAAAGCCTCACCAATTATAAATGTTTCTTTTAACAATTTACCCTTTTGAAAAGGGTTTTCCTTCTTTGCGAATATGTGAGAAATTTTGAAAGAAGTAGTAGTGGCATTTTTAACATATCACCACAGACTTAATGGAAATTGACTGTTGTGCAAGCAAGATTTTAGCTGGTTTATTTTTTTCTTTCTTATTTCAGATTTAAGTGAACAGGTCTTATTAAAAGTTGCATGAATAGTCTGCAAGTGAAATTAACATTGTATTTTTAGCACAACAAACACATTAATTTTTAAAATTGTCTAAGCGATATAATTCTTCCTATCCAGTATTAAAATTATAGATTCTCTGTCTTTAACTTAAGTCGCTCATTTTTTGATTAAAATGAGAAACTTTAAAAAAAAAAAAGTAGTAGAAGACATCAACAGTTAAGTTGGAGACACGTACACTAAAAATATGAGCATATAAACTAGCAATAAACACAACGCGGCATTTAGGGTAATATCTATTCAATAGGGATTCCCTTCATAAATGACATCATACTGCAGAACAAATAATTACGCTGTACGTATGGCACCATCTACGAACAATAGCATACAATATAGTACTTCAGGGAAGCATTAAAAATATCTTTAATGCATGTATATTTGTCATTTCGAAAATCTTAAAAAATAATCGGTACAAAATGAAAAACTTGCCGGGACCATACCTTGAGACTTGGACAATCCTTTTCAAATCAGGACGTCTGGTAAATCTATTAAAAATAATACACATATAATTATTAACAAATACGCTTATAGTTCTGTAACTAATTACTAACTGTACACGAATTTTACAGAACACTTTATTGAAAATTTGAATAATTTTTTATCGTGGTCGCACAGCAGTAGGGACATGTAAAATCGCTGGCAGGTGCAATGGCGCCTGTGGGCATAGGGTTTGAGATACCTGCTGTACTAGTTGACAAATACGATTGTTTTAGTATATATTTAATAGCTTATTCTGAAATGTAGGATAGATTTTTAAACAAGTTCATATTCTGTAATTCTATTTTAAGGACCCATCAGCGGCCGAGCAATAAAGTTGCTGAACCTGAACACTAGCAGTTCAGCCTGGGCTCGATTCCAGGCGAACGGGCTGACTGCACGAGCATTTTTGCGGTTTTCCCAGTGTATAATGCGAATACGAGTCAGTCTTTCTTAGAAAATTCTACACATAGTTTTCCATTCCCTTAGGTAGATAGCCCTCGTGAACTTTACGATAATTAAGTAAACCAAAACCGAATCGTTTTGAATGAACACATAAGCTATATATTTATTGAATCAAAAATCATCATGAATTTCAAATTCGAGAATTTCGTATGTTTAGATCTGCGAATTTCTTAACTCATTTTCAAAGTAGTGCTGATTTCTCTTTTAAAAACTCTGTTATAAAATCTTGTTCATTTAATATGTCGGTGATACAGTTTTAATATTCTAAGTAAGGGATGAGTTCTCTTTTGCTATAAATAAAATTAAATATTGAAACCGTATAAAATCACGCTTAGAATGACTAAAAACAATGTCAGGTATCATTTGAGAAAGTCCAATTTAGATTTTCAACATCCTAGGTATAGTATTTTTTCAGGGGGCTTCCAACGCTTGCTTGCTTTCTTTTTGTGTGAGAGAAAAGTACAATCATAAGGAGTTTGGGGTCCTATAAAACTTGCAGTTTTAGGCTTAGCGTAAGTATTAATTGAGCTATGTTGCTCAATTATTAGTAAACAAGCTGAAAGTACACGATTACTCCTTAGGACATAGTGGTTTATAATAAATAAAAATTGAGCTGTTGCATATCTTGGTAATTTGACATCAATGTAGATTATTTACATAATCAAAATCATTCTAACGATGCTAATACCCATGGAAAAAGAACAATAGAATGCAAAAAAACGTTTACTGAATTTAACCGATGCGCATACTTTTTTTTAAAGTTGATGGTAATTAATAAAACTGAATGCAACAAGGAATACTTTTGTTGTGTCTGTATTACAGTAATTATTCTTTTAAATATGTTTCATTATTATAATTATTTTGGTTATTATTATTATTTTAAACAGGCAGACGGATGTTTTGAAGAATTTTACTTCCTTGTTTAGATATGTGTACAAATTCAAAAACGTGTATTGAAGCAATTAAATTTATTAACCATCAGCCTATGGTGTTGTGTTTGACTTGTAATAAAAAAAATATACTATATTTTCCTGTGTATAACGCGCACCGTTGTATAACACGCATCTACAAGCTTCGTACGGTCTTTAAAAGACCTTAGGTTTTTTTTGGAATCAATTTTTGGTCCTTAAAAGTACTTAATTTCCGCCAAAATCGGCGAAGGTCCTTAATTTGAATCATCTGAAATTTCTGTCTGTTTGTACGACTGCCGTTTTGAGTGTGAATTAGTATTTTGGAAGAATATTTTTGGCGATTTACTGACAAATGTGGTTATGTTTTAAATGGGTTATAATTTGTTATTTTTTCTAATATAAAATGATGGGATACTCGACTTTCTGAGCAAGAAGTGCAAACAAGCATTTCGAAATTATTTCATTTTTTTCTAATGAAGAACACTTAAGCAACTTTTCACTTTTGGAGATGTGAATTCTTTTATTAAACGGTTCTGAATTTGCAGACTTATCAACATTTCGGCGATTTTAAGTTCAATTTTTTTAACAAAGTAATGTTAAAAAAATTAAATTTAATAGTGGCCATTAAGTTCATAATGACTAAGGTTATCTAACCGTCTAATTTAATTATTTATAACTAACTGACATCACTAAAACAGTTGTTGGCAACTCTGTTTTCAAGTTACACACTTAATCCGGATTTTTTTTTTGTGTCTGTGTGTGTGTCATATCTTGTATACCGCTTGACATAAAGTCTACCTGCTATTTACTAAATATGTCCAACTATTATAAGTGTAAAATATTTAATGCTACTTGATAAATTTGATAAAGTTTATTTTATTCTCGAACTTATTAATAATTATGTTAATTAAGTTATGTCTAATAATAATGCATCCTGCTTACAGATCTATTTTATTTTTAGTATGTTATTACAAAAAATGAAGTTCTGGCATTGATAATATTTTTTATTGAATTAATTCAGCTCCCATTTGCTCATAGGTCCTTAATTTGTTTTCATTAATGGTCCTTAATAGTCCTTAAAAGTACTTAATTTCCGTGTGCAGAATATGTACGAAACCTAACCTTTAATTTCAAGTTACATTTTAAAATTTTTAGGTATATTTCCCGTATAACGTGCACCCAGTTCTTCACGAAGAAACCTAAAGGATACATGGACAATGCTCTTATATTTTGAAGTCACTTATATTTTGAAGTTCGAAAGGCTAGGACAAATCAATGGTATACCGAACTTACAAGCAATAAGGGGAACAATATATGTGAGGGTTAAATACTTGAGGGTGTAAATATTCCCGCAAAAAGGGTGGAGTATATTCAATGCAGCTGTCCTAGAGAATGCTATTGTAGGGTTTCGAGAAAAGGAGGGATATAATTTGGAGTAAGAATGCACTTCCATCGTGAATGAATTTGTGGAATTAGGAGTTAGATGTTTTCTCTTTCTGTAGTCATTTGAAGTGAAAATCGAATTTGTTTTAATTAAGATAGAGTTGACCTAGTGTTCCTTTTAGTATTAAATATGGCTCCCGCGAAAAGAAACGAACACCGTAGTGGTTTCAAATGCGAAGCCATTCATTTTGCGAAAGAAAATGGAAATCGTGTCAGCAAGGATGTTTGGTGCTCGTGAAAGCTTAATACGAGAGTGGAAGGAAAAAGAAATCACAATTATTAATATGCCAAAGAATTAATGTTCTTTGTGTAAAGGAGTAATGAATTGGCTTTTTCTAGAAGAATGTGTTGCGAACTACGTCCTAGAAAAGCGCCAGAATGGATAAATTATAAAGGAAATAATATACATTTATTAGCCTTAACGTGGGCCAAAAAGAATGCAAATGAAAGTGAAAACTTTAAAGCGACTTTGAGTTGGTGTAGTACAGTTATGACACGGAATAATTTAGTTCTACCAGAAAAAACAAAAGTTACGCAAATGCTTCCGAAAGTTTTGGATAATAAATTAATAAGGTTGCAAAAGTGTGTTATTGACTTACGAAGGCAAAAAATGTTTTTACTTTCACATATTGGAAATATGGATAAAATTAGTAATGTTTGATACGATAGGAAATAAAACAACTGATGTGAAGGAACAACGGTTCATATAAAAGCAACAGGTCATGAAAGATTTCACTTCACCGTAGCGCTTTCCTGCTTAACGGTCGGTTCAAAATTAAAACATGTGGTCATTTTTAAACGAAAGACAATGCCAAAGTGTAATTTCCCAAATGGTGTTTTCATTCATGTTCACGAGAAAGGATGGATGGACGAAAACGGTGTGAAATTGTGGATAAGAAATGTTTGGCAAAAGTAGTCCTTTTGCCTAAGAATCCAGAAAGTCTTTTAGTCTCGGACATGTTCAGATCTCATCTAAAGGACAACGCGAAGAAATTGTTGAAAGAGTGTAATACAGACATGGCAGTTATTCTAGGCGGATGAACGCAATTAGTTCAGCCTTTAGATGTGTGTATTAATAAACTATTCAAAGAAAATTTAAAACGACAATGGAATATGTGGATGTTAGAAGGTGAAAAAAACATTTACAAAAGGAGGCCAAATGCGTCATGCCAGTTTAGAAATAGAGTGGATAATAAAAGCATGAAATGAAATTAAACCCGACGTAATTCTAAAATCATTTAAAAAGGTTCAGTATATCTAGCAATCTAGGTGGAATGGAAGATTATTATCTATTTACGGATCAGAGTAACAGTGATTGTGAAGAGAAAACAGCATTCGACGATGTGCCTAAAGATATAACAGACGACGACCATAACTTTTCATGTTATCCGATAGTGAAAATTTTTAAGTTCATAAGGTTTGTCATTGCTTTTAAAAAGCATTTAGTTACATATAGATATCTATTTTTTTTAATATACTCATTCCTTATTTTTATACCCGGCGTATAATAGCATCCATAAATTTCGATTTAATTTTTTGTATTGAAGGTGGAATATACCGCCGGAATATACGGTTAATGTAAAAAAGAGCGCATGTCTCTCAAACTATAATCGAAGTTGATCGTTAGTTAAACTTTATAACATGTATAAGTGAATTAGGGTGAAATATGTTTACCCTTATGATGAACAAGGTGTTTGAACTCGAATTTCTCATTATGACTTTTTTGCATAATCACCTCCTACATATAAGCATTCTGTGCTACAATTTACAGTCATCTTATGGAATACTTTGTTCTTAAAACATTGAACAATTATTTCGATAACCTCAGTGATTGTGTTGAAGTGATACCTTCGATGTGAAATCTTCATAACGGAGATCAAATGAAAATCAGACGGATTCAGTCGGAAGCATAAGATTGATAAGGAAGTGAGCTGAAGCCACAATCAACCAAACCAGGTCATACAATTGTGGAATGGGGAAAAGATGTGTTAACTTAATGCAAGATGTTTCTGTTCTCACTTCAGAAGGAAGCAAATTGTAACTTCTCACAATTTTTGCATATTGTGCCATAAAATTTCAACATAGGGTCCTAAAATTTTTAACTGCTTAGTACCATTCCTTCGGAGCTGAAAATCTTCCATTCTACCTATATAGAGTATAAGTATGTGTATGTGTATGTGTGCATGCAAGATATTAGTTTTAAATTTGGACCCTTTAAGTTAGAATTCTTCCTTTTGAAGTTGCACTTATTGTTTTATTATACATTAAGCTCTATTTAGTCAGCTATATCAGCAGTGTGAAAAGGAGAGTTTACCGCCAGGAGGCGCAGCACAGAGCAAGCTCGCAGGCGGATTGGGAAGGCGGAGTGCGCAGAGGCGCAGCAGATAAGAAGGAATATTTCAGGATTCTTTATTTAGTGAATAAGATGACGTCACACTTTAATGAGAGATTATCTTTCATTGCTTTTCCGGAGGTTCTTTGTTAATCAATTTTTAGCCAATGTATATTTCTTCATATTCCAGCAGTTATACTACGTATATGATGGTTATTTTCTAGGTACCCTTAACGACGATTATTGTTTAATTTAATGATTTATTCAGAAGGCCTTAAATTTAGATGTAATTTTTTTTTTTTTTTTTTGTTTCCGTATATTTTAAGCTTTAGTATTTCCTACATACTCAAAATTTTACGTTATTTCTTAAATCTTCTGTTCATAATATCAGATTTACTTTCTGTAATCTTAATTACATTACTATTTTTTATTATTTATTTCATTTTACCCAGAATTCATACTTGTTAGCCAATACTTTTAACTTATTTGTTATATTTTACGAGTGTAATTCCTCAATCACTCGTTTTGTGTATTATATAACGTCAGTGATCTTCAACATATTCTGTGACAACTTATTTCATGTCACAACTTTTGTTTGTTCACAATTTTTTTTCACATTTTCTTCAACTTATTTCATGTATTTTCTGATCATATAGATGACCTTTACTTAATTTTAGATGTATCATTTTTAGCTTGTTTTATACATTTTAACCTTCATAATATTTAACTTACTCTAATTTTTAACCAATTTATATTTTCACACTGTATACATAACTTTTATTTGATTCTCTTCATACATTTTAACCTACATAACTTCCAATAAGATCCTAATTTTAACACTATTTCTATATTTTCAGATCATATACCTGACACTTATTCAATTTTAGATGTAAATTTTAACTTCTTTTCTACTTTTTAACGTTTTTAGTTTCCAACATACTCTGAATTTTAACTAATTTATAATATTTATAGACTATGTACATGACTTTCATTTAATTTATAGCTACTTTCATACGTTTTAACTTGGTAATTTCAAACATAAAGTTTAGCCTAATTCCTATAGTTTCTGACCACATATATGGCCTTTATTGAATTTCGGATGTAATTAACTTCTTTCGTACATTTTAACCTTCGTAATTTTCAACGTACTTTAAGTTTTAATTTATTTTCATGTTATTTGCATGAATTGTATTTACTTTTAGATGTAATTTTCTTACATTTATAGCATTTTTGTTTCCATTGTACCCGTAATTTTAACGCATTTACCATATTTTCTGTTTATAATACATATTTATTTTACCATTTTACTTAATTTTACATAGTTTTTCACATGATTTTTCATGTTTAAACTTCTTAATTATACACAGAACTGAGATATTTTCATTTAAGCATTTTATTCTATAACAACATATTCTGTGTATAATTCACATCCAATTGGTTGAATAATCCTTGCTTAGTTTATATTTTATATTACTACTTTAATTTGCCAGTTCTACAATTTATCTTTCTATAGTAGTCTTACCATGACTGATTCTACTATTTCACTTCATTTAGGATATATTATTAATTTCATTGGCATGTCTAACCTTTATTATACGAGTATTTTCTGCATATTCAGATATTTTCATATAATTTTTAATACCCTTTATATTTGAACGCATGTTTTTAAACTCTTTAATGTTACCATAGTTTAGTTTTGAGTCCAAATTATTTTTAAACTAGCTTGATAGATTCCGAATTTTCGGAATGAAGTGCCAGATTTCACGTGTAATTTTAGGAGATATTCACAATTTCATGTGCTCATCCAGAAGTCTTTCCCAATATTTTTAACATGTAATACCTTTTATTCTAATATACTTTGCCAATTGCTTGCACTCATGCCGTTATGTTTTAAATTTTAGGTGCCCTGAATATTCTAATTTTTTCTTACTACCTTTGCCTACGCTAGATAATTAAGAATATTTCTCTCTTCATAGGAAACTCTCTGAGAAAAAAGCCCTTATTTATATTATATATCTAATGAAATAACTAAACACTAATACTTTTAGAATTAGCCTTTTACTATGGAAAGTCTACTAACTACTAAATACTATTAAATTCGTAAATATATCACATAAAATTAATTCAAAGTTTTATGAATGATATTTTTAGCAACGGCTTCAGACTGCATAAAAGTCAGCATTCACTATCTTAATAAATGTATCATCAGTTATTTACATTAATTAATGTAATATCATCATTCGATAATGCATATATTTTTGTTTACTTTTTATTTTCAAGTTAATATTCTTACTTTACGTAATTAATTATCTGTTCTAAGAAAAGGCTCTATATCTGACCATATTTAGTTCACATTTAATAACTTTTTCCAGAACTCACCCTGAGCCATTTTCATTAAACTCATCATAGCTCTTTTTTGTTTTTCCAAAAGCTTTGGTAGTTTCTCTCTCTACATCATACGCTTTAAGTAACTGCAAACAGTTGCTACGGAAATGTGGGTAAATGTATTCAGTTTCCCCATTTTCACATTCACGACTCATTTTAACCACAACAACTGCATACGATTTCAGAAACCGATACGTTGCTACATTATCACTCAATTTTTCTACAAGTTGTGATTTTATGTATTCAAGAAACACATCTAGGTCTTGATCATTCTGTGTATTAGAGAAAAATTGACTCAGTAGCGAACATATCCTTGAGACTTGTGATTTTACCACCCGTACATACACTGACATGGTCAGCATTTCTTCGTTTTTCTATGGTTCGGGTTAGACTACGCTTCATTCGAATATGATGTAAAAGATCACGTTTTCTTTTAAAAGCTTGGGAACATTGGGTGCAATTTCTAACATGAGAAGCTTCATGCTATTCCAAAGCATCATCACTAGTGAAACTCTGAGCAACTACTGCATTTAAAAACAACTTCATATGTCTTCTTAAATCCCTTTGGTTTGTAAAAACTTCCGAACATTAAATACAATTTTTAAGAGGGGAAACTTCATGCTGTTTTAAATTATCAAGTTCATCAAATACCTTTGAGCAGGATTTACACTTAAAAGTATCTTTATGAATTTTCACGTGTCTTCTTAAATCCATCTGACTCGTAAAAACTTCCGAGCATTCAGTACATCTTTTAAGATGGGAAGCTTCATGACATTCCAAATGATCAAATTCACTAAATTTTTTAGCACATTTATTACAATTGTAGTTCCTTTCATGAGATTTCGGATGTCTTTTCAAATCACTTGTTTTCGGGAAAACTTGTAAACATATCGCACAAGTAAAATTTCGAAGATGAATCGTTTCATGAACTCTTAAGTTATCAATGCGAGCGAATTGCAATACATACTGCATTGGAAAGGTATTTTTTTCAGTATATATTCCCTATTTAAATCACTTTATAGTACGAAAGACATTTCACATTCCACATTGAAAGGGTTTCTCTCCGAATGGATCTTTAGATGTCGAATCAAGCTCCGTTTCACTGTAAACGCTCTGCCGCAAGTCGAACATACCTAACAGAAAACACGAGAAAACTCGTAGGCATTAGAATAACTTAACACATATATACATATTACACACAAACATGTGCATACCAAAATTTGAATTTATTAGAATATTGATAATATGTACACACTTCTTAGGCTGTAATGGCTAAATTTATCATACATCTTACCCTAAAATTTTCATGTTAAACCATTTTTTCACAAATTTAGTTTCACTAGGTACATTATGTCCCAATAACATAAACATTAAATGTGTAACAAACCTTAAACATAATAAAAATATATTTCATAAAACATTGTAAAACCTACCTTTTTAGGTATAAATATATCAGCAATAGTATCATCGGAGATTGAAGATACTGAAGTATTATCTATTTTACACATAAAAATGGAAGCAAACAAACAACGCACAATCGTGAAACTAGTTTACAAGGTACTGTAACAATGATTTTGAAAGATATGAATTTATATATGCTATACTACGAATCTAGAAATCACTTAAATCACCAGTCAGGTAATATGGATTTAAAAAAACATTGTTTTACCAATCAAATGCTTTCCATTCACTAATACATATGAAACATTCTAGAATACTCATTATCATATGATTTCATCCTTCTTTAATCATCTTATCTATTTCGATAACATCCTGTTTTCTGGATTACGTCAATCACCTTCTCAAAATTACTCAATTAAGGTTAAACAAGCGGACCACGTACCAAGATAATAAATACATAATTAGGCAAGAAATCGTCTATCATTTAGAATTAAACATACAGTTAGTCACAAAAGTCTGCGTACAGACTAAATTGTAAATTAAAAAAACACTTAAAGCATAGAAAATGTATTTTAATTATTGCATTTTTTTCTTCTATTAGCTAAAATTGTAAGCTTAAATAAAAAGTAAATAATATCAGTGTAATACTTTTTACATTTTTTCAAAATATATTTTGTCAAAAAAACTCAGAATCCCTCCAATAAGGTCTGCGTACACTTTCAAAAAAAAAAAAAAAAAAAAACAACGAAATATAAGAAATAGTTTTTTACATTTTTTTTTAATTGACTAAACAATAAAAAAAAAAAAAAAAAAAAAAAAAAAAAAAAAAAAAAAAATAAAATGAAAAGATATCAACTTTGTCTAAGTTTTTTCAGAAACTCAAAAAAGAAAAGAAAAAATATAAACAATTACAACATTTGTAGGAAAATTTAAAAAAAAATGATAACTCAAAATAAAAAAAAAAAACCAAAAAAAATTATAAAAAAAAAGAAAGAAGAAAGATATGTTATTTTCCTAGACTTGAAAGAAAAAAAAAAAAATAAAAAAAAAAAAAAAAAAAAAAAAAAATTTAAACTTCCGAAATTGTTCCAAAAAAAAAAAAAAAAAAAAAAAAAAAAAAAAAAAAAAAAAAAAAAAAAAAAAAAAAAAAAATATAAGTTTTTATATTACTTCAATACTTTGTAGGATATCCTTTATTCTTCAAAACAGCTTGCAGACGTCTGGCCATTGACTGAACTAGTTTTTCAGAGTCATCCGATTCGATTGGTTTGAGGTCCGGTGACTGTGGAGGAGTACGCAACTATTTTGGAGTGTGATAGAGGAGATATTCCTTTACAAATTTAGCTGTATGTTTCGGGTCGTTGTCTTGTTGGAAAATAAAGGTGTTAGAAAGGTTTAAATTTCGGGCAATGTCTCGTAGATTTTTCTTCAGAATATCCAGATAAACATACTTGTCCATGACTTTATCAATAATGTGAAAATTTCCAACTCCTTTCGACGACATACACCCCCATACCATCACACCGCCAACTCCATGTTTGACAGTTGGATTTAATTTAAATTTCTCAGATTCAGTTTTGTTTGTTCCTAGGTTTTCTCCATACAATAGGGTGGCCATTAACTTTAAATATTGTAAATTTACTTTCATCTGACCAAATTACATTGTTCCAGAAGTCCTGCGAAGAGTTTTGGCAAAAGCAATTCTTTTCTTTCTATTTGTCTCGGAAATGTATGGCTTAGACCTAGGTTTGCGTCCATGATAATCGGCTTTTCGCAGCACTTTTCGTACAGTTTCAGGAGAAATTTCCTTGTTGCTAGTTAAAAAAATGTCTTTTGCAATGCTTGCAGCAGAAAGTTTAGGATTTTGTTTAATTCGTAAAAGAATTTTTCTTTCTTCTCTCTGCGTTAGCTTCTTCGGTCTCCCACATCTTGGTTTTACAGCAAGACTACCAGTGTCAAGATAGTTTTGAATAACTCTTTGCACACAAGAAGATGGTTTTCCAATGGTTTTACCAATATAACGAAGAGTTTTACCTTCATCTCTCAATTTGATAATTAGTTGTCTCGTAACTAAAGGAATTTCTTTATTGGTTGTCATTTTCGTCAAAGAAAATAGAAATAGCAACTTCCAATCAACGTGAAATTTGCTTCGGAAGTCAATGACCTTGAAAGTGTAACCTTCTTTGCATTCTCAAGTTTGAAGAAAGTTAGATAAGAAATCCCCCGCCTCCTTCGCGTTAAGTTAGATAAGAAATCCCCCGCCTCCTTCGCGTTGTACGCAAACTTTATTGGCTTTGATTTCTGGCCACTTATCTTTTAAAAATTAGTGTGCATAAATTATTAGATATGAAAATATTACAGTTAAATAATTTCAAAGTCCCTTATTGAAACTAAATATTTAAAAAATAAAACTTTAAGAAACTACCCTTTTCGCACCTTAAAATTTGGATTTGATATTACTTTTCTTGATGTACGCAGACTTTATTGACTAACTGTATGCATGTTATTAATCGCTAAGAACACAAACGCAAATGAAAGTTTAACATTTTTAACGCGTTTTATAGCTTTAAACACTGTTTCAAAACAGAAAAGCACTCGAAAATGTTTATACAAAATCATATTAACCTGTACATTTTTTAAACTTTAACTCAGTTCCTGTTAGTTGATTTATCAACAACAGATTATTTTCACCAAAGTATTTTAATGTTTTCCTAAATTTAGCACATTTATTCGGTTCCCTAATTTATAAAATAAGACACGATGAAAATAGTAAGAGTAGCTATTATTTCAGAATTTAAGAAGAGATATTCAATAATAAAAGTGAAAATATACTGAACTTCATATAAGACTTTTATCATTTCACACCAGACATTTCACTATTTCGTAGATTCTTAGAATATATCCCAATCTTTCTCAAAGAATGCATATCATTTCACATAAATTAGGGAGTGCCAAACGAGTTTAATTGCAGATGAATGATACTAAAACTTTCAAGAAAAAATCAGCATGAAAACTTATGAATAATAACGACATGTCACAAAAGTTTGAAGACTTCGCGTGCTATGAAGTAGCTTCAGAAATATAAAAATATTTTCAAAATCTCAATTCGCACAGAAAATTTTACGTTATTCTCACATAAAATTGTATTCAGTCGAACTTGAAAACGTGTTAACCAACCAGTGAGAGCCTGTTGAACTACCATTATTAGGATATGTACACTGCGAAAAAAAAGGGGGGGGCAGTTCCTATATCTCCTGTTCTACTGGGCCAATTGACGAAATTCAAATTGCGTTCTTCATGTCTCGAAAGCGCGACTTAGGATATATATTAGATTTTATCCATTTTATCCATTTTTTGCAGCAATTCCACTTTGTTTTTAATGGACTTCGAAACATACTTTCGCTTTGTAGATCCTTTACATATTAGTAAATATATATCGGGAGTTCTATTTGACATAATCGAAAGTTCAAGCTTACTTTTATAAAATTGCTCTAACAGTCCGCAAAAAATAATAAGGCGGATCCAATTCGAAGATTAAGAAACAACGCAATCTGCAATATTAACTGAATTAGATAATTAGATAATTTTAGCTTATACCATCCGTTATACATTAAACTCGCATGCGTAAACGTATTATGCGCATGCGCACACGCAAATTCGCAGCCGTAAAGGTCTTATGCGCACGCGTAAACGCGACGCATGCGCAGAAAGTTTGTAGCTTTGAGGTCCGGATTATGGGTGTCCGAATTAATGACTTTTGACTGTAATGTTCTTTATGTTATATTTTTAATTATAATTTTTATTATTTTAAGTAATTTTTTCTTTTTCGAATTTCATTTTAGTTGCATGTTTTCTTTCGAATAACTGTTTTAAAAAGCTCTATTTACCCATTCGAACTGTGTAGTTTAAATATAAGGTGGATCGTTTATTCTTTTTCAAATAGTTTTCTTTATAATTTATTTTTTTGTCACAGTTTAAAACTTTTCATATAGTATTGATAAATATTTATTACGCATCATTGAGGGAAAACATTTCATATAATTAATTCTCCATAAAATTTTATTGGAAATTTTAAGTTAAAAATAGCTGTGGCAATTCACTGTAACAAAAACCCATAAACCACATTTAGCGTTATTATCGCTCAAATAAAAGATGCCAAATTTCGAAACGCGAAAATATGTAAATTCGTGTATATCTTAGAAAATTTTGAATAAAAAACTGTAATTTTTTGCAGGTATACTTAGAACTACACCTACTTTAAGGTGATGGTAAAATTCTATAGGTTATAATTCAAAAATGCTTTCGAAAAATTTATAAAAAATTATTTAAAAATAGAAATTTAAAAAATAAAACACAAAAAAATGAGTGAAATTTATTTGGAATGAGCTTAAATTTCGAAATGTGAAAGGAAAAATAAAAAAAGTTTAATAAAAAGAGATATTAATATATATATGTCAAATTCAATTAACATTTTGAGAGCTAATTTTTTAAAAACTACTCGTACGATTTTTACAAAACTTGGCAGTCTGGCATAATTTAAGTCGTAGAATCAAAATATGGAAAACATTATATGTTATTTCAGAAAAAGTCCGATTTTGTGTCAAAATACCTATGTTAGAATAGTGCTATATATAAAGCTAATATATATCCTAAGTCGCGCTTTCGAGATATGTAAAACGAAATTTGTCAATCGGCCCGGTAGAACGGGAGATATAGAACTGTCCCCACCCCTTTTTTCTTTTTTTTGCCCAGTGTGCGTATTCTTTTAGAAAAAAGCTCTGTAAATAGAAAAGAAATAATGCTCAATTTTGAGCTCAATGAGCCAACTACCGCAGTATACTAAGGCAAGGTGTCGTTTCTAGAAGGATTATCTGGCCCAGCTTGAACAGAAGGCCAGTGTTTCATGCCAAGAACTAAAAATGTGGGACGTACTCCTTATAGAGCTAGAGAATAAAAAACGTGTAATGTGGCCCATGAGCAAAATTGCCAAATTCTGCAACAGTAGAGATGGTGTTGCAAGAGTGATACTAGTAAAAACCAGCAGTGAATATTAGCTAAGACCAATAAAAAACTTTATCTACTACAGGTTTCAGCTGCCAGCGATCTTGTGCTAATCCTGGTAATTGAACATAGATCTGATATGAAAGATTAAACCAAGAAAAATTCTTGAAGATTACGTAAAATATAAGAGTTTTGGATACTAAAGCTTTTGGTCAACTAATGACTAATTGTGTTCAGCTTATTCTATTAACCTCATTTCAGTATGTTACATCATATTGTAATTTCATATATATATATTGTATTTTAACCTAGTTTTTTTTTTCTTCCAAGATTTTCTAACTAATTTATTAGTGCTGTATTTATTCCTGATTCGTAATGTCAGAAAATTTTGAGTAATGTCTGATTTTGAGAAAATCAGAGTGGGAGGATCTTTGTGTTTCTCATGTGTGTGGAAGATGGAAGAGCGAGACTAGCAGCAATAACCATGCTTACAGAAACTATGAACTGTGGGCATCTGGGTCTGAGGAGTTTGTGTTAAAGAGGTCAGGAGTTTGAGAATATGTGAGGGGAAAGAAAAGGTGGTGGTTTTTTTTTTTTTTTTTAACCTGGGGTG